CCTCTTTGCACCCTCCCTTCAAGTATTTAGACACACTGATAAGATCGCCCAAGCCTCCTCTTCTCCAGTGTGAGCAGGCTCTCTCAGCCTCTCCTCAGAGGAGACATGCTTCAGTCCTTTCATCATCTTGGTAACCCTCATTGGACTCGATTCAGTATGTCTAGGTCTCTCTTGTACTGGGAGCCCTAGAACTTGAGCACAAATTACATCTTATTGCTTTTTTTTTTTTTTTTAATAAACATTTCACCAAAAGATGAGTGTAGAAATCCTGATAATATTGGCTTCTCTTTCAAACTTGTGTTGTTTATTATTCAACAGCTAAAATGAAGTATTGTAAGGTGGGAGGATATTCTGACTTCATTTACATGTTACTGTCACGTTAATATTCCACAGCTGGCGGTCATACAGATTTAGCTTACGATTGTATTTCATTGTAGTATAGAAGTATAAATAAATGCAGTGCAGAAAAGGTAAGATTAAAAAATGTACAAGTTTTTGCACTTTCCTCTTTATGTTCCACATTGCAATTATTAATTTATATCCCTGTTTAACATCTTTATCTGGAGAATACAAAAAAAGAGCATTCTTATTTCAAGTTTGCAGATGACACCAAACTGGGGAGCAAGGGCTGCCATTCAGAGGGTCTTAGGCAAGCTAGAGGAATGGCCCTGCAGAAATCTATTTAAAATTTAACAAAGGCAGAGTCCTGCACCTGGGAAGGAGGAACACCCTGAATATAATGCAGTCTGGGACTGACTGTGCATCTCTGCAGAAAAGGACCAGGGAGCCCTGGCTAGGCAACAACCTGAATGTGAGCCATCACTGTATTCTGGCAGTGGAGAAGGCCAACAGCAACCTGGGTTTTATTAACAGGAGCAGAGCCAGTAGATGGAGGGAACTGATTATCCCCCTTTACTTATTGGAACCCATCTAGAATGCTGCCTTGCACCCTGCAATTTACCACCTGGAATTTAACGTCTTAAAAAGATTCCAAATCTGTAAGTACAGAAATTACCTATTTTAAAGACATCATCATTTTTACTTTTCTTTTTTAGGATTACAGCGATAACTGCAATCAATGATCTAGGTTTATAAGGTTTCATTATGCTTGTATAAGGCACCCTCTTCCCCTGGCCCCACAGTTTTGTTTGGAGTTAATCTTCCATACATTGATAGAATAATCTGATAGATTTAATAAGGTAATAGGCAGAAGAATTATTACAGTGCTTAGTTGAATAATAGGTTTTGAACTTGGTTAAGTCAAAGCATAGACAGAGAGAGAGCACATTCTTCAAATTCTTCACCATTGCAATAGAAATTGAAGCCTGTCGCAGACTGAAAACTGGCACACAAAGCTCCCCTGCTAACACTGAAATAGTAAAAAACAACAGAACAAAAGAAACCACTACCCCAAACCCCTGAAAGGATACATTTTCTTCAAATCCAGAAACCATGTACCTTTCTTTAAGAATGTGCTTCATCACCACAGCAGAATGGTGATTACTGTAGTATCATTGTCTTCAATGTACTTAAAAGATCAGTAAATAGTAGAAGTCAATTCGAAACACTATTACTACTTGATGCCAGAAAACTGTAGACAATTCAACAATATTTTTGATTGCAACAGTATTATAATCCATAAATAGGGAATTCTGTGTGATAACACATTCATCTCCACTCTAAGGACAAAGTTACTGGAAAAGAAAAAAATTATTAAATCAAGAAGTCTGACTTCTGGAATGGAAGAAAACTAGTTGTACAAGGGTATTTCCCACTACACTTAACGTATTGGGGCATAGTTTATGTCCATGCTCCGCATTTATTTTAACAACCATACTAAAGCCACTATTAGTTGTTATATTGTTAGTTACTTTATCAGTTCTATAGCAGCAAGCTTCTTTCCTAGAATAGGCCAGTTGGTGGAAAACTTTCCCATCATTAGGACTGATGTCTTTATATAAAGATTTATCTTCTGCTTTCAACAGATTTTGTTGCCTAACTTGCAAGGAGGAATGTAAACATTCCTGCTCACTGATAATTCTGCTCCATATTCCTTTGCCCACAGATCTATTTTTTTCATTTCTGATTCTTCAGAACCAAACAAGAAGTCCTCTCCAAAAACTAAGGCTTATGAAGATGCACACACTGTAAACAACTTCCACACGTACAACATGGTGTGCTTAAAAACACACAAAACAGCCTTTCTTTATGCTCCAAACAGACTACTGTAAAATACGTTAGGTTTCTTTTTTAAAATACTATTTGTATCACCTGAGATCTTTTAATCCTTTGCACTGTGCAACTCTATGGTTTAAAGTTTACACACAAGAGAGTTAAAGGTAACACAAAACAAGTAAATTATATAATACAAGCAGTACACTATTTTATTACAGGTGTATTTTAGTAGAATGGAGAATTACTGGAGCAATAAGCTGTGTGCTTCTGTTCTCCCAGTCTCTTTCATCCAAACCTTTTTGCAGAAGTAAAACAATTTAGAACC